CTGTTGCCTTATATTATGTATCACTTAATCCTTCACTTTCACCTTACCACAGAAATGGATTGCTGTGTTAAAGCTATATATCAGAATACAAATATAATAAATAAAAATAAAAATAAGGCTCACTGCTTTCAGCCTTGGCACTTTTTTTACATACAGGCTTTCTTTAAGATCAAAACTCATTGGTGTCTTGCAGGATTTTCACCCTGTTCATTTCTCAAGCCAGTGGATTAAAGGCTTTATAACAGATTGTTTTTTTCATGATAAGAGGATTTGCTTCATTGTCTCTATTTACTGTTGTACAGGGTTATATTCCCAACAGCACTTAAAGGGAGTGTGTGTATGCATGTGTTCTTTGAGGAGTGGGGATTGTTTCCTGCTCTATCTTGCATGTCGCACACATTAATACTGCGTATGCACATACACACACTGTCATACGGTCACGTGTATGACCAAATACAGACCAGTAATAACACAGTTTTGTCAATGCGTTGTCATGGCGCTCCAGTTTGTTTATTACTGGCTACATTATAGCATAGTGCTGTCAATAAGTCATTAAGGACAATAATGATCCAGACAATCAAATGGCATTAAGATTTTTTTTTTTCTATAGAAAAACATTTATACGTGCTACATGCAAGGATTTCAAAATTCCAAATCATCCAAAGAGGCTTTCCGTCCACACAGTAATGTTATTCACCTTGAAATCAGAATGCTTTGCACAGCAACAAGTGTCCCACAGCCTGTGTGTGTGTGTGTATCTGTGTGTTTCAGGTGCGTTACCATAGTAATATTTCTCTCACTTCCCATCCCTTTTTTGATTTTCTGTTTATGCGTTGCCACAGAAACTGGCATATTCTTTTTGCCCGTGGCTTTTTGTGCCGTTAGTCCCTTTGTCAGAAATAGAACAGAAACCACATGCTGCAGTGCACTGCATGTCAAAAGGGCATTAGTCATCTAACTGTATGGTGCCAGTCCAGTCATCAAAGTCATTAATCTTTCCAGTGTATCATCTGTCAGATGTGAACACAAAGCAACAGCAACGACAACAAAACAAATGCTGAATCCCATGCTTAAAATGTATATTCATAAAAGAAGTTATAATTGTTGACCAATTCTGTACATTATATAGCTTACCTTACAGTTATGCACCTAAATCACTCTTTGCATTCTTTTACTCCGTGTGTCTAATCCTTTTCTTTCCTCCTTTTTCTTGCAAAACATATTCACCTGACTCATTTCTGCTAATGCAAAATTGGATTAAGTGCAGCAAACTGGTGGAAAATATCATTTGTTAAACTTGGGATTATCTGATTATGATCTGTGCAGCCATTCCAGCAAACATCATCTGCGGGAGGTTTCGATAGTTCTAATACATACAGAGGAAAACAGATCATGGCAGTTGCGTAAAGGCTTAGCAACCGGCTATATTTTGGAGACAAACATTCAGAGTTAAAGGACTGTGACAGTAGCTGCATGGCAGATTTGTCTCTATACGGGCTATGCAAACAGTGTTACATCTCACTAAGCGTCCACGTCACACTGAGATCCACGATCGTGAATTCTCTGGTTGTATGTTCCAGAGGCATTCAGTGTCACGGTGCACTGCGGCTCGATGTAAGCGGTCTGCATGAGCAGTGAATGAATTTGGTCCAGTAACATGAAATGGAAATATCATCCATGTGTGCTTTGTAGCTCATTAACACTGATACAGTCAAACAGATTAACATTTACTATGGCATATAATAGCAGCTGACCATCATTATCTTGAGAGTGAGAAAATTAGCTCTTGATTAGATGACTGTTACTAAATGTGAGCGGTGAGGATGACTTGGGGAGGACGAAGAAAAAACATTAATCTTTCTCTCTCTTTATCATGAACTCAAAATGACTTTTCACCCTGGCAATCAGCTTCTGTGTTTGTGTCTGCTGCTGTTAAGGCCAGGCTTGGATGTCTGACTAGGTAAACTTGGCTGTCGACTCTGAATGCTTGAAGGCCGAAATGGATCCCAAAGCAGCGTGTTTTTTTTGTGTTTTTTTTTTGCTCCATTAAGTGGAGTGCTGATGTGGAAAAAGAGTTTATTTAAAGCTAAAATCTGTAGCTTTCCACATATCCTGCATCATCTTCCCCTTTCTTTTTTAGTTATTTTCATCCATGTAAAGGCTTCTAAAACAATACTCACCCTCGTCTCTCTGTTTTGACAGAGGCTTCTTCTTCTTCTTCTTCTTCAGTGCCATAGTTAGCACTGAGGACATTATAGTGCTTTTTTGGGGAAATATGACTACTTTTAGGCCATAAAAAGAGTATTTCCCTACCAGGGTGCTATTACTGGCAGTGTGGAGAAGGCTTTAAAACAAGATTTAAATACATTTTTAATAATGAATAAAGGAACAGCAAAACCGGGGGTTGGGAATTTGGATATTCTTTTCAATCAGCTACCAAAAACACTGCTGACATTTTAATGTATGAAACTTTAACACGTGCAAAAGAGCTCTGGCAGGCACAGAATTGATCTGCATTGTTAGCCAGATAGCTTTTACCAAGAGAAATTAGACTGAATTGTGGTGCATATAGACAACAAGGCCAACCGCAATAATTGTGCAGTCTTATCATCAAGCTGCACTCGACCATGCACTGACATTTTAAGAAACGATTCTAAAGTTTTAGTGAAGAAATATATCAGAGATGACACACAATAGTTGGAGATGTGCTGTGTCTGTTAGACCCCTTTAAAGGATATAGTCAACAAAAGAAACATAACAATTAATACATCGTTATTTAACAAGAATCTTGGCTGTAGAATGTGTTGGTTTGTAAATTTGTATCGGCGTCCCTGCATGTCAGGCCAGGCTTTCAGCTCATTGTTAGCAGAGTCCAGCAGTGACACCAGGATTTAGTTTTCCCCCGTCACTCTTCTGTCAGCATTCCACAGGTTCCATAGGTTGACACTTAAGAAGTGAAGCTTATCCATCCCCTTCAGAAACCCTGCTGGGCAGAACCAGCTCGGCCGAAGAGAGGCCTCTTATTTAACTTTTCCAACTGTTTGTCTTTTCTTTTGCAGCGTGTGTGCGTGTACGTGTATGTGTGTGTCTGTGCATGTGTTCGCCCCCCTCAAGCTGTGTGTGAGGTCAAGCGGGAGGGTGAAGGGTTTCCTCAGCCAGCGATAAGGAATGGCATACACAGACAAAAAAAACACACACTCACAACAGCTGTGCTGGATAAAATGCTCTATTAAAGGGGGCAACATGCGACTTCTTTTTCGCAGGACCCGTGACAGGCTTGTTTCACACACACACTCAGGTGGCCCTCCAGGTTGCCTGTGTCCACATCTTGTTTTCCTCCCACAGCTGAATGATGGCTCTGTTGCTTCACTGCACTAAGTGGGGTCAAATAACAAGAGAGTTGTCAGCGGGAGGAATGACTTCGAGAAAATATTGTTGATAGAGGCCTAATCATGAAAAGCAAAGTTCTAAAGTTCTTCATAAAGTCTTCACTGTGTCTCAGGGAAACCCATTCTTCTAGAAGACTCGAAGAGTAAACATCACTCAAGGGCCGACGTGATGAAATAATTTTTTTTTCAAGATATAAACTGTGTTGTAAAATGGTTTCTCTCCGCTTGCAGCAGAACAAAATCAAGATCATATAAACACAGACACATTAGAGTATACTTGTAAGCCCTCTGTCTGGATAAGGCATTAGATAAATTGCAGCCATGTCTCCTCTCTTTCCCCCCCTCTTTCTTAACCTCTCCCTCTTCCTGACCTCTTCTCTCAGTAGACACGGAGGAATGCATGACCAGAGATTCAGATGACTCAAATATTCATCAAAGCCAGAGCGGCATCTGGATTTCCAGCAATTCATTACAATTCACTTCAATTCAAGTCCACCTTGATCACAGATTAAACTAATGCTGCAAAGTTAACCTGTCTGTGGCTGAAGAGTGACGGTGATGATGACTCGGACTGCTTTTCTATATGCGATCACATCTCCTCTGACACATATGCTATGCATTCTTATTGCCAGTTTATGCGTGTGGAGGAGAGCATATTGCAAATCCATCAGTGCAATGACACTTCATGTCCTCACTTGCTCCTCAGAGAAAGACAGGACTTTTTCTTTCTGTTTATCTGCGTAGGGTATTTTACACATTTGGTTGGCTTATGTCGTAAAAGTACATCATGCACATATGTTGTATTTTTCAGACATTTCATATTTGTTCGGTATTGTTTTTAGGATTGTAATTTTTGTACTAATGCAATCTACTCCCAAGCTCATCATCTATGAGAATCACATAAAAAAATACTTTTTTATTGCTCAAAGAATGCAGAGGCCAAGGGTTTACTTGGGTTTAGTCCAGGGAACCTTAATGTGCTATTGAAAATAAGGAGACTGGCCACAGTTTATTTTTACTTTTAAATTGAATGATTTCTGCCCTGATGAAAACCCTGTGAGTTTAAAACTGATCTGCACTTCTAAAGCTTTTCGTGTGAATAAATAGAGGGTCTTAATACCTTTTCTTTTTTTACCTTTTCCTATGAATGTTTTCTTTTCATTCCAGAATCATAGAAGGACTACAATACAATCAATAGTGGATCAAATGGCTATGTGTATGAACCCTCATATTAACCCACTTTGAATTATCACCTAATTCTGCACTTCCCTCCAGTTCTTTGGAACATGTGTCTTTAAGCCTGCAACTTTTCTGTTTTGGTTGAGTCTCACCGCTCTCATCAGTATCGTTTCCAGACACAGACAGCAGCACCAAACATTCTTAGCGATTAGCTGGTGAACACACTGGATATAAGTGTTAGACCTACAGAAATATGACTTTAAATAAATGCTAATGCTGTTCTGTATCTGCAGGATATGTAACATTAAGCCAACAACTGTTTCTGCCTCCCCCCAGTGGACAAAAATCGGTTAATGCAGGATTAAGAGAATTTGCCGCAAACAGTGTCATATGTTCTGATAGTCTTATTGTTTTATTTTTTGTCTACCTCAGGGTGATTTCACCTGGAGCGGCCTGTCAGGCCGGAGCGTGCGTCTGACGCCAGTTGCCATCCAGAGCCTGTCGGAGCTGGAGAGGGCCAGGCTGCAGGAAGTGGCCTACACCCGTTTACACCAGGACTATGATCTGGGATGTCAGATAACCATGCCAAAAGGTGGGAGTATGTGTGTGCTACGCATATTGGAGACCTGAGTTAAACAGTTTTACATGATTTTTATGTTTGTTAGTGCCGGATGGGTGGGATTTACTGCCTCAGCATACTTTCAAGACCCTGACATTTAAGTGACTGTTAACTGTGACAAAATACATCTGTGATTAACTCCGGAACCGTTATATGTCATGTCTTCTCATTTGATATTCTTAACCCAGGTTTGCTGTGTAAGCATGTGCAGCTACTTTCAAGTGTCCCATAAAGCAAATCCAGCGCTCGGTCCTCTGACCACATCCTCTTGTCATCCCTCAAGTGCATTTAAGGGAAGTCATGTATGGTCTATGTTTGGGGAAGTTGTGACAACACATGAATTTAGATGTAAACCATACTTCACATTGGGATCGCGTGCTTCCTGTTTGACGCGGTATCTGTTGACCCCTCTCTTCATAACGGCATGCGACTCCCTTTCTGCTGCAGCTGAGGCTGGGTGCATTTACCCCCATGTAAACTCACTATTAAAAAGTCCTAAATGTTCCAAAAGCAGGCTGTATTTGTCCTTGCGGCCCTATCTAAAAGCTAAACGACTGTATTTTGGTCTTGTAAACCAAACCATTAAGTTAATAAGGGTTTAACAAAATTTAACAAATTAATCCAGATATAGCAGAAATGGGCAGAGCACTGCACTGAAACTGGTGGTTTGTGTCCCACTGGGCCCGCCCATGCTAAAAATGTCTGCATGCGTCACTGTTTATAGATAGAAAAAGAAAAATATACATAATCCCACTTGATTTAAAGCAAACAAGTGGGCAAATTAATAACCTTCACAGATCAGATTGAATACTAATAGTGGAAACTTATTCAAAAATGGGATATATTTAAAGGAAATATCTGGTTTCATACAACTAGGTCCATTTTAAACCGATACCCCAGCAGCGATTTAGTGTTGGATCAGTAGTATTGGGAGCAGCAGAGACTTAATTATCTTGACTTTTACTCCCTAGTAAGCTCCAAAAAACGCCAGACCAAGGTTGAGACAACCCAGGTGACATCATCAGGGTTCTTTTCTCAGACTTTAGAAAGCTCCCCCCAGAGCCACACAGGATATTATACAACCATTGTCAGATGTTGAGTAGAACTCCCCAGTATGAGCAGAGTGAAATTCATGTAAAATTGTTAAAAAATTACATTGGTAGACTTATGTGGATGAGAAAACAAAGCTAAACAATAAAACTGTCCTTTGCAAACCTCCTTTGTAATGCATTAGACCGACTTTCTGGTTAAACCTTGACCTGCTGTTCTTGTGGTAGGTATGTGTGACCACGGTTTTCCTGTGCAGACATTCTGGGTGCGCTCACTTTCAGTTTTACCTTCAACTAACATGATTTTATCACTGATGATTCCCACCCTGTAGCAGAGATATACTTTTTCTGCTTTCCTGTCTCAACCCCTTTTGGGAACCACTTTCTTGCCCCACCAGACTTCATTATAGTGCTGTTCCTGTGTCTCCAGACCCCCAGACAATAACCTTTGGTTCAATATAATGTTATCATAATTGATAGACAGGATGGCCAAAACTTCAAAAACAGACCCAATTTACAGTAAACCAGAACTTTACTTAAATGTTTTTGGAATAGGTCATTCCATGCTCACACAGATGCACATCATGCACAGTGTGCAGCATTTTTTCACTGCACTCTATAGGAGTGGAGTGGCCGCCATAGCAGCAGTATAGTGCAGCCAGTGGATTATCCAGGGCCTTGCATTCCAGCTGAAGGTTAAACCTCTCCCCACCATGATTTAATACGTACTTGTCTGTGTTGCTTATGAATTCCAGAGCCCCTAACGGCCGCCATGTGCTTGCTAGGGAAATATTTCAACTCGTGTGTAAGAGCGTGTGTGTGAGTGCTATTTCAGCACCGCTAATGTGGACTTTAAAGCCCTGCCGTTTCTCATATTTATCGGGTGTCATGTTTCTTGAGTTTCTTCAAGAACGAAAAACAGATTGAAGAGAGAGAGAAAGAGAGATGCGATGAGGGTGTGACGGTACAGAGGAGAAGCAAAGGTTCATCAGACAGTTTCACAACTGGTTGGGAGTTGGACTGGGGAGGTTTGGAGGTTCGGGGGATTTCCGTACAGCTTTGGGAGCCATCCGTCAAAAATCCAAACCATTTCCTATCTCTGCTTCTCCCCTCTTACACTCTCTCTCTCTCTCT